CATCCCCTTACCCCGAAAAAAGCAGCATTTGCAGTGAGACATTTCAACACCATTTTGCTCAACAATTGAACTTTGAAAAATTTTGGGCTGGCTATGTCCTACTGTTTGCTTATTAATCTAGAAATATCATGAAAATTCATTGAAAATGAGAAAATGGCAATTACAAATTAAATTAAAATGGCGGATATGAATAGAACTGGCGTTAATCTTAGAATAAAGATGATATCAAATTATTGATGTTTATTTGAAGTATTTGCAAAGGATTTTGACTGATTTGAATCTATGTCCCACAGCACAATTTGCCAATTTTAAGAAATTATGAATGTGGGAAACTAGAACGCAATCATGCCTGTTAGTAGATTAATCTGTGGGTGGGTGGGGGAGGACCGGAGGCTGGAATACGTAGGTTTTCAAGTGTCTTGAGGGTCAAAATAGCACCTGGAGGTCAAGGGGCGTAGACAGAATTTTTCAAAGGGGGGAGGGGGGTCCGAGCTAGCGGGTCCGATCGAACGCTGGAATACGCGTGTTTTTATTAGTCTTGTGGTCTAAAAAGCATATTATAGCTATGGAAAATTGCTATCTATGATACAGAAAAATGATTTTATTTTTTTTACATTTTAAAAGGGGGGGGGGGGTTCAACCCGCAAAACCACCCCCCTGGCTAGGCCACTGCTCAGAGCTATGAAAAATTTCAAAGCATGATACAAAAAAAAAAAAAATTTTATTCCAAAATGGGGGGTTCTGACCCCATCGCCCCTACACCCTGGGGTGGGTGTGGGATTTAAACCGGACCAAGATGATTCTGAGATTATACATGATTTGTGATATAAAAAGAATTGACGAAAACGTAGATTAAACATAAGTTCTGTATGTCAGAACTGGTAGCTGTGACCAACGACTACGTGTTTAATGCTTTATTCAGAGATATACGAGACTCAATTTGTGCCTCAGACTATTTATGAAGTCCTGTATCTAATTCAGTGAGAAAATTTGATGTGCTTTGTGCAATTAAAGGAGTATTAAATGAAGTAAAATTGCTTGCATAAACACTGAATAAAATTAGAGATGTATTGATAATAACCATGTCATATAAAAATGTTAATGTAAAAATTTGGCAGCGAAAAAGTCTAGATTGGCTGATAATTAGTGGGGATGGATTAAAAAGCTACATACATTGGAAATATCAGCCTACATTCAGCTGATACAAATACCAATACATCTCTAATTAAAATAACACATACCTGGTTGAAATATATTGAGAACTGACTTCATAATAAAATTATACCATTCCTTTATGAACACTCTGTATTTTGAAGTCATAAGATATATTATGTCTGTTATAATCCTGATATTGTGTCATTAATAATTAATAAGAATATTACTACAGTCTACAGTACAGTTGCATGTAAGACAGATAGGATTATGTGAATGAATGTGATTCCTAGTTAAATGATTGATATATCATTAATGTACTTTTTATTCATTCAAACTTTTGGGGGTCTGGCCATCTTGATAATTTGTCAGGGGCAACATAATGAGGGGGGGGGGGGGGGGGGGTCAGTTATTGAAATAAAGCAAGTGTTCTCAACCTTTTTTCTGTTAAGTACCCCCCCAGAGTGACGAAACAATCAACGTGAACCCCCGTAATCAGGCAGAAAACAAAATCGTGATATATCGACTAACAATTTGTTGCAACAACAATTTATTGACCATAGGTAACTAAATTAAATCGTCGCGTTGATATTATTGTCTTTGTCGTCTGCCTAACGAATGAATTCTTAAAATCTTCCCCAAGTTTCAATAAGCATAAACGCTTTCTCCAGTGCTCAAAGAACGCTGTCTTAGAGATTTCAGTTTGTCTGCAAAGCGGTGAATTTCACATTCTTGCGTCACAATCTTAACAACGCAAGATCAGAGAAAATCTACATTTCAAGTGGCACGCATTTTCCTCTGGTAGTTATATAGGACATTAAAAACAGCAACACTCAAAAACTCGACTGCCTTCTAAGTACCCCTAGAAATCTTCTCGTGAACCCCAGGAATAAAGCAACTGACTTGTCGGTTAGTGTGTATTCCTGTATTTTAGAATTGAAAATATTTGCAAAGACTTTTGGCTTCTACACAGGGGGGTAGCCAGGATTTATCAAAAGTGGGAGAAAGAAGGAGTTTAAAATTTCTAACTTCGGGGCTCCCGAAGTATGCGAACCAAGATGGCGGACATCGGAATGTAATATGTGTACTAGGTTAGGGTTAGGCCATAATTTTAGGTATAAATACTAAGGGAGGCTCTTGGCTAGTCTTCGAACTGATAATAGGACTAAAATAAGGAAAATTGTGAAAAACTTATCGCCTAACCCTAACCTGTTACCCATGTTACGTTCCGATGTCCGCCATCTTGGTTCGCATACTTCGGGAGCACCCTAACTTCCAAGTTAGACTGTAGAATGATCCAATCGTGAATACATCTGATATTTCATAATTGAATTATTTTTAGTATTTTTATAGCAGATTGCTCAGGTTTGGTAAATGAGAGTATCAAAGCCTAGCCAAGTACGATTTGATGTTGTCCTTCTGTACCTTTAATTAAGTGGCATTGTTTGACTATTTGAGCAAATAAAAGTTCCTCAGAAAGAAAAAAGAAATCTCTGTGAATCTAAATTAGGGAAAAATACTAAAATGAGAAGAAAACCTTCAACAACCTTCAAGAAAAGTGTCTCAAAATATCAAGAATGTTGACATAGTCATTTTCAATCGGAAATACAAACCTAATTCATAATGCATGTCTACTTAAATAGGTTTTCAAAACAAGATAAAGCACTTAACAGATCATAAATATGTGGAAGGTTTAAACATTGTCTCATTTGATTAATATTTTATGAGTTTCATCTCTATTTTCAGGTGAGGACTGGTAGCCGTGAGAATTTAATGCCCAATGGTCTGCTTCGGCGGACTTTATAGAATAATATTATCGAATATAAGATATTGGATATACTCTGGATTGGAGTAAGTATTTGATGTAGGGTAGACATATTCCTCCATCTACATAAGAATTCACTCATCACCTATTCAGAGTTTCACACTGGCTAATGACTTGCATAATTGAACAAAATTTACTATTCTGAATACATTATGAAATAATATCATCGAATACAAAGTACTAAATATATTCCAAATTAATTCATTTTCAACAGAAATTGGAAGAAATCATTATAAAGATAATACGAGTTTCTCTATCTACAAGGCACGTTAGCACAATGCAGGGAGGAAGATTATGTTCCAAAAAATTGTAAGTTTCTTTGCCATCACAGAGTACATGTCACACTTCCCCCTTGGTACCATAAAATATGACATATTTTTGATGCTATGATGCCACGTTTTTGTTGTTATTATACTGCCACATTTTCAACAATATGATGTCACATTTTCGGCACTATGATGCCACATTTTTGTTAATAAACTTTCACACTTTCAGTAAAATGTCAGATTTTCGGCACTAGAATGCAACGTTTTTGGTACAGTGCCATATTTTTGGTACTCTAATCTTATATTTTCCCAGCTATTTTTATATTTTCGAGGACCAGTCAGTCATCACGCTGCTTAATTTATAAAAAAAACTTGTCATATTGCAGGACTCATTATTCAATATTCAATATATCCATCCATGAGTCATAAAGTGTCTGCAAATTATTTTAATGAATATTCCAAATTGTAAATAGACTCTGCACACACCATGGAAATCACAAACCAAGTCTACACTTGATCACAAGTCCAACAGCCATTAAAATATTGAATTCCGTGTTAGAAATCATATCAGCTATTAAAACTATCAGTACGATATGATATCAGTTTCAATGATATCAGATTGATTTAATTTGATACGCTAGATATTAAATTTTGTCAATAATATAGTGTGGTAATTTTAGCAGAAACAACTTTTTATGTGGTTTGATATTTTTTGAGATAAGGCCTTCTGCATCAAACGTTCTTTATAACAAATTGTAAAACTTATATTAGAAAGCAAAATCGGCCTAAAATGTAAAAATGAAAAGAGATTTTGGGGCTCCCGAAGTATGCGAACCAAGATGGCGGACATCGGAATGTAATATGTGTACTAGGTTAGGGTTAGGCCATAATTTTAGGTATAAATACTACGGGAGGCTCTTGGCTAGTCTTCGAACTGATAATAGGACTAAAAAAGGGAAAATTGAAAAAAAATTATCGCCTAACCCTAACCTGTTACCCATGTTACGCTCCGATGTCCGCCATCTTGGTTCGCATACTTCGGGAGCACCGAGATTTTTTTGTTCCAAATCAACGACAAAAACTTTCCAAAACATTATATCGGCCCACTTTATTTCCATAAAACCAGACACCGCAATCAAGAATATGATACTGTAACATGGCCAAAAAGTCGAAGACTCAGTCATAGACAAAGGTGCCTTTGATGCACTGGCTAGCAAACTAACCATGTGACTTCTAGATTCACAAAGTGCTCCATACAGACCCCAAGGCTCAGTGAGAGAAACCTCCGCCTCGGCGAGCTATTTGTTCACCTATAGAAATACTCAATATTTTTCGAATACATTCCGGTCATTATTAAATAAATTGATATTGGGGCTCCCGAAGTATGCGAACCAAGATGGCGGACATCGGAATGTAATATGTGTACTAGGTTAGGGTTAGGCCATAATTTTAGGTATAAATACTACGGGAGGCTCTTGGCTAGTCTTCGAACTGATAATAGGACTAAAATAAGGAAAATTGGAAAAAAATTATCGCCTAACCCTAACCTGTTACCCATGTTACGTTACGATGTCCGCCATCTTGGTTCGCATACTTCGGGAGCACCTTGATATTAGCTTACTCAGGGACATTAATCTTAAAAAAAAATGTCTTTTTCGTTTTTTCTTTTATAAATTTATCATGGCGCTCCGTAAATAATAGTCAACCTCTAGGGGTCCGTAACTCTAAAGGTTTGAGAACCCCTGGTTTTAACTCACCATTTACTTTCAAATTGATTGACATCTCCATCTCTCTTCCATGGTAGAGTGTGCAAGTGTATTTGCCTTCATCATAAGCTGTGATTCTGTTCAGTTGGACTGAGTATTCTAGAAAAAGAGAGAGAGAGATTGATTATTTTGTCCATCAAAAATCATTCATTGTAACAAAAAATAGTAACAAGCAACAAATTATCCAATTGAATTGTCCATGCTGCAAACTAACACAAATGTATTTCTGTGCAGCTGGAGTCATGAATTGCTTTTGCATAGTATGATATTTCCCTGCTACAGCATCCTTGCATTATACACATACGGATCGACAAACGCAAAGAAATTGAGGAAGGATTGGGAGTTAGTCTCGCGTAACCTATACTGAAAGCAACATATTATTTTGTTTTTTCAAGGAGTGCAACCATACAGACTTCAAAGTCAACTCCCACCATATTACAGTAACTCTTGGGCTTTAGATTCCCAGTTTAACAGGACTACTGATAATTGATGAGGTTAAACCTTATGGGATTCATTTTCCTATATGGGATTGTGATTAAAAAGAAAACAAAAACACATTGTTAGTTCCCGAATAAGTTTCCTGAGTAAACTAAAATGACTTAATTTAATGACTCGGATATATTTGCTGCTATGTAGGCTACTTAAAAAATATTCAGTATTTTAATAAGTGAACGAATATCTCTCCGAGCCTCTAAGTTTCTCATTGAGCTCTGGGACTCCGTATGGTGCACTTTGAGATAATAGGGCCACAGCACAAGCAAGGCAACCAAAAACACCATTTGTCCGTCCTCTCTCCTTTCATGTTATTAGGTGCTTGTCTAGAGACTAGCTTTGAGCAATTTAGGCACTCGAACAATTATGAAAAACAAACAAACCTTGAGCATTATTCACGTCTAATGTTATCCGCGGATCGAACGAATATTTTGTCGCGTCAGCATAAATTACTGATGTCCCGTTAGTCCATGTTCGTCTTAGTCTACTGTTGCCATCCGTGAACCGACATCTGTAGAAAAGCATAACAGGAAAGTTAGACTGGTACAAGGTTCCTAAGACTGAGACTGTAGCCGCCTTAAGGGTAATAGAACATTTCCTTGTGGCCAGGTATTATTTAATATGGCTATATTTATTCTTTTGCCTTTACTAGTTGGCTTTTTCATTATTATTGGACATGGCACAATAAAATACCTGATAATAAATTTATTCAATTTGCAAAGACCATTTTTCTGGTGAATGCGACCAAATATACAATAAATATTTACTATTCTGTATTTAAAAATATCATTTTGACATGCAGAGTATTTTATATCCTCAGAAATAGAAGAGAAGAATTTGGTTCAGTCATTCAGTTAATAGTCTCTCACAAGCAGTTTTTATTATCATTTATCCCTCACAGGAAAGTTGATCATGTGACTTAACCAAATGGCAAAACATGGGCGGAAATATCGGATCTCTCAAAGTATGTGCACCAAGATGGCGCACAACCTGAACATAGTATGTGTACCAGGTTAGGATTCAGGTTGTGCGCCATCTTGGTGCACATACTTTGGGAGCACCCCAAAAACATTTTCCTAAAAGTAGTAGCTAGCCATGTATTAGTAGATGATTATCTAGAGATTTGTTTAGAGTGAAATTTACCAAAAGAAAAACAAATTCATTGATATTCACCTCAACATGACCATTCCTCCTTCAATTGCTGTTATTTCTGTCGGAGATTTAACAAATTTGGCAGCTGAGATTTCTGAATAATAAATTACCACAATTATTAGATTAGAATATCAATACAAATACAATTAAAATAAGCTTGCGGATAAGAAGAGATGTCTGAGACAAATTGGATTTGATGTGAACTTGCTGAATATTTTTAATTTGATTGCATTTCATAATATGACTGTGGGTCACTTTGCAAATGCATGCGCACTTTACAGTGATAAAAAATTCAACAACCTCATGACGTAATTTCAAAAATAGCGAATTGTCACAAATCAAACCGTTATTCTACTATTTAAATAGCCATCAATTCTGGAAACAGTAACTCAAATTTCTATAAACATATTTTCGTATTTGCACAGAAATAATAAACCTTTTTCAGCTACCCCTGACTAGGATAGGATAGGATTTACATATTTATCCCAGGGGAGAGGAAAGCCGATAAGACGGCTTATCCATATGGCGAACCACGGCCTCTCGTCCGGTTACCATTCCAAGTCGGGTATGGGATTAGTTTTTACTGTATTGTTTGTTTTCGGAAGCACGGACTTCGTGGTGGAGGAAGCCGTAACCGACCAGCGGTTACGTGAACCACCCAACGACGGCGAGGAGTCCAGCAATCCTCTCGCACATAACCATCCCTGCATGGGATTCGAACCTGCGAACCCACGCAGAGGTGATTAGAGGTGCGGTGGCGAGCGTATTCCTAACGCTTAGCCCGTTGAGCCACACCGCCACACTAATATTAAGAAATCTCATAAATTAGCAAAACTCATATATCAGCCGAATATGATAAAGTTAGGGTTATAAATGATTTTATTTGGGGGGAGGGGAGGGGGAGTGTAACTGGTAAAAGTCCCAATCCTCAATGAAAAATTATGTTGACCGTACATTTGCACCCGTATATGTGCGCGGGTTCAATCTATATGCGGGCGCTAAAATCCATGGGTTAGGGTTAGTATGGGTTCAAATATCCGTAAACAAAAAAAAATTTCCATAGGTGAATAGTATACAAGTGCAATTGTCGTGGGTTCAAATGTAATGGAACCAAAAATTATTGTTACAGTTATTTCCCCCACTTTTGATATTCAAACGCTGATACCGATATTTGTTCAATTCTCAAAGATCCTTAGCTAGTACCACTCGCGGCTCACACCCTGGCTTTTTACAGTTTGAATTGATATATATCGATCTTGATCGGTAAGTATTTTGATAGGTATTTGTCTGTTTGTTTGTTCCACTTTCGTATGTTACGCGACATCTCACGAAAGTGAAATTGGATCTGCTGCAAATTTTGCATGTGCATTCATCATATCTCGGACCAGAAGCCTATTGATTTTGGATGAATTACGTCATATAATCAGCGAGTTATTGATTAAATAGTGATGGAACACGCGGTGTCACTATTGTGTCAGAGCGAAGAAATCGAAACCGCAAGATCGGTAAGTCGGCGATCTCAGATCGCTTTCTGGTTTATAATGTGTTCAAATATTTGTATTACAATAACACTAAATAACTAAACAATATCGATCCTAAAGATGAATGAACCCCATAAACAGAATACTTTTATTAGTGAGTGACCAAGGACATATTTTTGTTCTCGCACAGAAAAGAATCCCTGAGCCACCTTATTATGCAACAATCAATAAATTTAATTTAAAACAAAATGGATTTTATTTCTTTAATTTAAGTTTGAATGTTGCAATTAGGGAGATTTAATTATAGGATTTTATTGATTTTTAGGGAAATAAAAAGATTTGTCTGGGAAGTAATTATAAATGAAATTAAATGTGGGAATAAAAAGGAAACAGTGGGCATAATGGCTTACTGTTTAATACAGAGGTTTTCAACCTTTTTTTTGTCGATTTTGAAACTCTTCATTCCTCGCTCACCATAAATAAAAACTATGTCTGTTGTTGAATTTTAGAGGATCATTATGTAGCTATATGCACAAATTATACCTCATACAGAGTTTAGAAGCAATTATTTTTGGAAGGACCGCAGCATTTCCCCATTGGAACATTCAGCATTTCCTACCCAGTTCATTACGCTTTAAGTGAGGCGGACATTCAATTTGAATCAGAGCTGTACAACTCTGATACTGACACAGATAAGTCTAGTCCTTTACCTGCTAGCTACTTATGCATCAGTGAATAAAAAGGAAACGATGGGCATATGGCCTACTGTTTAATTCGGTGGTTTCCATCTTTTTTGTTGCATTCCCCATGCATGGCACCTCATCCAAAGAAAAATCTATTAACAGTGTTTTTTTGATCTGAACAATGCCCCGTACGTGTAGCCACTCTAGTACTCCCGTAGTGTATGTACCAGGTTAAGGTTAGGCCATACTTTTATTCTAATTTTCCTTATTTTAGTTCTATTACAACTTCAGGGACTGTCTGTGTTAGCCAAGTGAATATTCCCCCTGCCCATAGGTTTCAGCCCCTTTATACAACTTGATGTAAAATAGGCGAACAAAATTAGTTACCTCCATATTGGTACACACACTTCTTATGTGAGGACCAATTACTTTTTGAAGAACGAGAATATTTTGTGGTTCGGCATTGCCTACTAGTTTGTCACACCCTGAGTAAGGTGGTGGACAAGGAATTAAATGGATGTGTAATCCGGGACACCAACACACTTTGAGTCCAGTACCTTAACAGGTCGAACATAACAAAAATTCAGACCACCAGAAGTATGCGCACCAAGATGGCGCGTAACCTGAACATAGTATGTGTGTACCGGTTAGGATTCAGGCTGTGCGACATCTTGGTGCGCATACTTCTGGAGCCCCAAAAATTCTTATCCACATGGCAATTCACAAATTTAGTACCGAATTACGTAACACTTGCCCAGAGCTCTGTTCTGAGTGAAAACATATGATAAAAAAGAGGAGTGCCTGCTTGTCTATAATTATCCTTGTTCAGAGGATAACGCATAACGTTCCATAAAATCAAGAGAGTTTGCGTGTAGGATCCCCCTGCTCCACAAAGTTTGAAAATAACAACGCCCACTTCACAGCCCTAAATGTAGGGATCAAATGGTCTGTCTGAAATTGATTTATTTAGTATTTTTTATACAGCGTTTATTCCAAATTTTTGCTTCAAACAACGCCCCATGCAAGCAACTACTGATTACCAATGATATATCAAGAGGAAACAATTATTCAAAACGACCGTGATCTTACCGATTCGGCATTTCTTACCCAATTTATTACACTCTGGTTGAAGTGGGGGCATAAGATTTAAACCCGTGCTGTGCAACCTGTGCTGCAAATATAGTTAAGTTTATTAACACAGTTAAGTTTGGCGACTTCGGAGCTTTCCTTCAAGCCCTTTACATTAAATACCTTCAGATAGATTTGAAGATTAAGGCCTTATTAACGCTGATAAAAAAAATTTGCTACAGAGGTTTCAAAGCAAATTAAAATATAGCTGTAGCACTTATCACCTTATCAATAAAAGCGGAACAAAAGCATATACAGTTACTGGAATTAATTCTGGCTGTTTGATGTCAGATTAGAGCAAAGATAAAATCAATCAAAAATGCCCGTTAAGAATTATTCAATCGAGAACCTACATCTGATGTGGCCACAAAGAAATCGATAATTGTTTAAGTGTCCTGATCCCCAGAGAGAGAGATTGAAGCATAATAATGGGATTAGACATGATTTAGGGGCCTAAGCTCCATTTTTGATGCCTTGCTTTGGATTTATAACATTCAAAATAGATTTTTGACAGTTCATGTATTATCGCTTAGGTACATGAAATTGTGGGCACGATGGTCTATTGCAGGGGTCGGCAAACTTTTGTCGCTCGTGGGCCAAAATTAAAGGTTGCAAGTCATTGGCGGGCCGCACATATTAAAAATCGAATGGATGACTGATGAATCACATTCTATCACACAGATCAGAAGTTAAATTCTAAGCAGTGCGCGAAGACTGAACATTTGAATATTTTTTGCGCCAATAAACCATTTGCACTTAGCATCAACTTTTCTGCGCTTTGTTGTCATTTGTCTGAATTATAATCAAATTATAGGCTCATTAAAAGAGTATTTGTGAATTATATACTTAAGTTACGTTATAATATAATTTAGTCTACACATAAATTCTTTTGCGTAAAGAATATAATCGACAAAACAGCTATAATTTGTTACTATAATTCAGTGAAGCGTCGCAGGCCGGATTATATTGCTCATATTATATTATATTGCCAGATCCGGCCCGCAAGCTGTAGGTTGCCGAGACCTGGTCTATTGGTTAATGCATTGAATTTGACTGGCATTGCAAGCGGCCCCCTATTTTCAAATTTTGGTTATATCATGATTTATTTTTGATAAATCAATGTGGTAAAAAATGAAAATCAAGAAGATATTTGTCTTCCAAAAGTGGTATCTCTCTATTATCGCGGACTAAAGTTCATTTATTGTATATATATATATATATTTATGTTTTAAAGACCGCTATTGTTGACCCTTATTTACCGTAATGCTGTTTTGTAGGATTTGGACTCCGACCACTCAATACATGTGAGGCAAAAACTGTCTCTCGATCTCTTACTCCGGCTACCGCGCTGGCGGTCGGCTGCGTTTTGAAGCGCCCTTTGTTTTATGCAGTGTTATATGCTGTTTTAAGTGTGAAGTTGCCATACAATAAACAACAAATCCGGAATCTTTGCGTCTTCTGATTCATCTACAACCATAGTAGCAACATTTTGTTACCGTGACACCTTGAACCTGCTGTCCCTTGTCTAAAGCCTAATTCAGACCTATGTTTCGTTCAAATAAACAATAGTGTTTCCTAAAAAATGACTGTCATAACACCTCATAGTGATTTATGAAGAAACATATTTTTTCATAAATTGCTTCACATTTTCTCTCTAAAAAATGACCAGACAAGCAGACATGAGTTCAAAAAATGGCAAGCAGAACTTTTTAAGCAGGGCAAGAAGGTTAATAAATTGTTGTGAATCTGTGAGTCTTCTTTCCACATTTCTTTGGTGGTCACTTCTCCACAGCTTTGTTCAGACCTATATTTGTGATCACTGATGAACAATTATTTTTCATACACAATTTTCAGACAGTGTATGATGACTATAATACTAAGCTTCTAATGTTCAAATTTATAACAATACCGGACGAGAGGCCGTGGTTCACCATATGATTAAGCTGTGTTATCGGCTTTTCTCGCGCCAGAATAAATATATGAACCCTATCCTATATCAGCCACACTGAATGAATATTCATGTTTTTTTTTTAGTCTTACAAAAACAAAACAAATGAAATAAATTTAAACATCTTAGTTTTCCATCAAAACAAGACAGCTGGATTTATATGGGAAACACAAAAACAATTTATCCTCATTTATAAAAATCAATATCACAATCTCTAGGGAGCCACTAAAATGATATTAGATAAAAATTGGGTTGTTTTGTTATGCAGGGAATTCTGGCCTGACCTACTTCAGTAGAATTCCCAAATGTTCACCATAAAGAGTCATTGAAGCGTATCTGGACAGAATATTTTTGAGTCCTACTTATCAATTTTTGTATAGTTTTTGATGGTATTGGTGGTTATGTATGCTTTTTCCATTATTAGACGGTATTCTATTACAAAATGAATACTTCTGTAAATTAAGTTTTAGTTTATTTCATTGTTCCATTATTGTTTTGTTAACAAATTGATAATATTTTTAGGGATATAATCAGTTCTCTGCAATACTTAATTAAAAATGAGCTTGGGAAGTCACAGGGGGGGGGACAGAAACCTTAAAAAAAATTAGTGGCATTTAATGCAATAAAAAGCAAAATATTTCCTTTACCTGAGATGAAGATTGCAAAAACAAAGATAAGGATATGCTCCAATGACTTCATGATTGACAGTTCCGGTAAGCTCCGCCTTCAAGATAAAATCTTCTACAACCCAATGTTATAAAGGCATTACAACTACAAAATTCCTGTCAATTAGGAAATATATTTTATTATGTATGGCATAGTCAAATTCAATTATACAGTATCTTTTATTCCATGTACATTGGTATATGTTAGTGTTAGCCAGTTGGGCCTATTTTATTATTCTACTCCCGCCCCCCTCACACCTTTCATAGGGTCATATGAAAGAGAATTTCATACTAGTCCATACCGTCAGAAAGTATTTTAAAAAATCCTTTTAATTGACGATGATGTAAAAAAAAATGAAAAAAAATTACTAAATTCCCCCCAAGACGCAAAAGATATGAAAAATCGAAACTTTAATAAAAATTCAGAATTTTTTTCATAAATTGACTTGAAAACAATTCATCTCAAAGTACTGCAATCGCGATGTTTAATTAACTAAACAAAATTAGCCTATCAATATAACCCTTGTTCATAGATAATAGCACCAGTAATAAACTATACAGCAAACAAAGCACCCAAAAAAAAACTGCTAAAAAAATTAGTGAAATTTTACCTTTACTTAGTAAGACTAGAAAAATTGCGCGACGACGACGAACGAATTTATACCATGCTTATAATTTTTGATTTTTCTTAAATAGATTTAATTACTTTCTGTAACCATGGCGATGATAGTTTACAGTTTGAACTATGATCGTTCATATTGCATTACTTATAATAAAATTCTATACAACTCCACCGAAACCGAAGTAAAAATAATATGCAAAAAATACATGTACGCTCTTCACATATTACGCCGACACATACATTATTTTTTTTTTCAATAGTGCTTATAACTGGCGTAATTAAATGTTTCTACCCGTTATGAGAACGTATTCTATAACAAAAGATATAATTCTGGAATTTGTTAGCAAATTGATAATATGACCGGTGCCTTATTTTTCATTACCTCTGAATATGGGACTTTGCCAACTAGTTAACTCGTATTTACATCGATAGTATAAATCATATTTTATTATAAAGAACAAACTCAAATAACATCGCAAATGTCACGTAATTTCAGGCGCAGTCCGTCGTCGTAGGTTGCCGATCGGCCGTCTGATTTTCGACCAGACATTTGCGAGCGCAAGTTTTACGTCCAACGTCCTTGAAGTAATTCTAATGACTGAACATCTTATCGTTATCTAGTATTTAGCCTATTAAGTCTTGATCTACGATTTTGCCGTTTTATGTTGCCGTCAATTTTCGTAACTCAAATAAACGAGAGTGTGTTTCATAATCTTCGATGACAATACTTTTATTATTTTCCGCCTGTCATTCACGACGGTAATCGGCTCTGGTCTAATAACGAGTGGCCATCTGTTATTAATTCAGTTGACAGGGTTCGGAGAATCTCATACATTTCTAAACTTTCCAAGCTTGCAAACTAATAGCATACAACAAGTGCATAGATCAAATTGATCACCCAGCAGTCCATTTTGCTAATACCAAAATGTGTTTTATGGCCCTACTGTCACCTAGAACTGAACAGCATAGAAACTAACTGCGTCGAGGACCGCTCCGTCCTTGATTGTAACATTTTAATTTTCTTCAAAGTATTTTCGCGTTCGGTTTTCGTTCCCTTTATTTCCAATTCCCTAATCTATGAGAACACACCGTAATAGGTGCGTAATTTCCCGGGTCGGCGCTAACTCGTGAATACATAAAATATCTCTTCATTTACTCCAATTAAAAACGGAAAAAATAACAATCCCATAGATTATAGAACACGTATATACGTAACAAAACTATACAAGTGAATATTCCATTGTAGACTACTCGCTGCTATCCTCGCTTCTACAGTAGTTTCGTGTGGTTGAAATAACGTCTACCGCCGTACTCCCTATTGTTGTAAACTGCTTGTCTAATAAAATTTATGTAATTGTAAATGCAAGACATTTTAACCACATGATATGTTAGTTAGTTAATATGGTTCTTGCTATAGTATCCTTGAAGTCTGTACAAACGGTTCACTAACACAAATGAAAAGAAAACGGAGCAGTAGAATGAGGTGCAGTCGATGTATCTCACTCAATACCTTTCCATCTAAAACCTTCTTGAGGTCTTGTTTGCTCTCCCGATTCTACGATCAATTACATTCATATTGTTTTCTATCAATTATTTTATCGCCTATTATGCTGATTATGAAGTCGAAATAAACTTATGCCTATCTGTTTTGATTTTTGTTACAATATCATTGCAGCATATGCATACAGATCCGCTGAAACAAATTCTAAAATATAGGGGCAATAATTAACCACGCCAAAAATCACCTAAAATCTATCTACTGGTACAGAAGAAGTACCGTGCTTTAGCGCACGCTGCTTTAACAAACTGTTCTAGTCCTAAGTTTCGTCTTTCGCAAATTCACATACGTAATGCAATGGTCGCAATAAACACAGTTGCGAGAGAGAAAATGACATTTATCGATCGAATTCATCGATCGCTTTTCAAGTCCAATTCAGTTTTATTTACGGCCGATAAACACAATTTAAAAGTAAATTTAGGTCAGTCGAACGTAAAGAACAGAAGTCACGGCAAGGCGTCGAGTCAATTTTGAAATAATTTAAACATTCAAGCGTTTTCCTAAACGTAATTTAATATGCAGAATGGCCACATTAATTTTTGATTACGCGAGACGTATACATCACGTGAAATAAACAGATTAAAAATGCAATCGCTTCATCCAACTAATTCTTTCGTTCATTTTATGGCACAGCACAAAAAATTGACAACATAAACAAAGGCAACGGCAGGTTCGAGACGAGAAGATAAATATGGCGCTCCACAAGTATGCTTACCAATACGGTGGCCATTTTACATCAAGTTGTGTAAAGGGACTGAAACATATGGGCAGCGGAATATTCACTTGGCTAACACAGGAATTCCCCAAACTCATAGTAGAACTGAAATAAAGAAAATCGGAATAAAATCATGGCCTAACCTTAACCTGATACATATACTTCGGGAGTACCATAAATATTTTTGCGAAATATGAATGAACGCAATTGCATACTCCGTGATCTATTATCTCAAAAGCTACAACAACCTAAACGCGACAATAGCAAAAATGAAAAGTATATTCTCTCGCAACTCAGGTTGACTGTCAACAGATTGGGCGCAGTTTCACGAAAATAACAAGTGCACGCATTCCTCGCGCACTCTTCAAGCATGTAATTTCATTTTGAAGTCGGACAGTTGTCAGGGGAATAAACGCGTTTTTTGCACAAAGTCGCCACTACTCCATGCTGCCAATCCGCGGATATAAAACACGATCAGCTTGTGTGGCATGCGATTGATATTTTGAGGCAGGTACGTAATGCCACATCCACATGAGAGAAAGAGAGAGATTTATTTTTCGTCTACCAGAGATCTCAAAAATATACTTATTCAATGTATATTAACATAACAAAATATACAAATTATCGGAATTTATAGAGCATATTGAAAATTTCTGTAATACAAAAAACAAAATGTAAGGATAAACATACTTTTATATTATAAAACTTGACTAAATTATTAGAGTCGTTGAGTGGCACATTTTTGGAGTCACGGTGCCTCTGCTTTACTTGGTATTATATCCTTCTGCATTAGGAAGATGAGAGCAAACGTTAACTAGGATAGGATTCACATATTTATCCCGGGGGAGAGGAAAGGCGGCGATAATATGGCGATAATATGGCGAACCACGGCCTCTCGTCCGGTTATGATTCCATGTCGGGTACCGGTATGGGATTAGTTAGTTATTTGTTTTCACAAACATGGTACCCTATTGATGGGAAAGTAAATATTTCGCTCAGTTGTTTCTTTATTGTTTCATAGGTTTATAAATAAATTATAATAATAATGGTTCTTGTGTTAGTTGTCGGAGACATTCATATTCCACACAGAGCTTCGGGATTGTCACCAAAGTTCAAGAAACTTCTTGTCCCAGGGAAGATTCAACATATATTATGCACTGGGAATTTATGCACAAAAGGTACTTTTCATACTTGGATTCATTTCTGGGCTATGATTTGAGATTGTTTATATTCAGTACTATCATTTTTATATACAATACTATACAATTTTATTGTATTGTTTTATTGTATTTATATCTAAGGATTAATTCAATATATTTTAATTTCAGACTTGTTATTTTTAAAAACAAACATTCCAACTTTTTTTGATACATCCTATTTTTGTATTTCTTCTCTTGGATCAGTTTAATCTTCTATTGTCCTTGTGAGAAGTACATGTTGCACAACTGTCTTCGGCTATCTAGCTATTGTAGTTTTATGTTGCATTCTCTAACCTCATTTGCAGATTTGGCTTTCTTGATTTGCTGTTTGTGTACTGTTATTCTCTTTTTAATTATGATGGGGTTTAAAATAAATTAATATCAAAACGCTAGGATGTTCATTTATCAATTTATCTTCAGATTCGTTTGATTATTTGAAGACATTAGCAAGCGATGTTCATGTCGTCCGTGGAGATTTTGATGATAATGTCAATTACCCAGAACAGAAAGTTGTTACTGTGGGACAGTTCAAGTAAGAAATATTTTTGTTTGTTTCTTTGTAGAGAGTCTGCTGCCATGTCTGTCGAAAATTACATCTCCTTCCTCACTCCATTTGAGCTACTTTAAAATATGGCTCTTAACTGCAGTAGTGGAACGTAAATATGGTGTTTTGTATGTTTCCTGAAATAGGACAAAAGCCCCAAGGGACCAGAATTGTTTTAGTTAGACTGATTATGACTCGAACTCAAGATCTATATCCAAGAACATGGTGAAACATGTTTGATGGCATATTATATTACTTTTGACTGAGTTGGTGTAGTTCGAGCACAGTGGTCGGCAAACTGTGGGCCTCCAATAAATTTCAATTATGGCAGATTGGCAGTGATTCACAAAAACGTTCTATAGATCCAACATTACATATTTTTTGAAAAATGATTTTTATTGATATATCAACAAAATATCATACATTACGTTCATTCCAACTAAACAATTTAAATGTCCCTTAATAACAATTTCATTACGT